TCTATCGCATTAAACTTGCGAGACATCGTTAGATTTAATGCCGAGGCATAGGATATCGCGTTTAATCTTCGAATTTTTACGTTTCGGAACTTTCAATTTTTACGCGCCAACTTTAATGTCGCGCTGCATTGTCGTCAATAATGAGACTCTATCGAGTTAAAACTTACGAGACATTGATAGATTTCGTGCAGGGACATAGGAAATCGCGTTTAAACTACGAAATTTTCAATTTTTGGTATTGTCGATTTTTTTGCGCCAACCTTAAAGTGGATGGATCGTCGTCAGTGATGACTCTAGTGAATCAAGAATTGCGAGACAACGATCGAATTCGGGCCTGGGAATAGTAAAATCGTGAGCGAACTGCAATATTTTTAATTTTTGGGACTTGCGATCTTTTTGCGCCAACAAGTTATAAAAGTGTAAAAACTTAATTTTATCTCAAACAAAAGAGGGCCGCCGATAAGAATTTGGTGGGGGCAGCGGAGGGCCTTTTTAGATTAGGGCCGTTTAAGATTTTCTTAGACCAACTTCAAATTTCATACAATAGAAAAGTTAATACTTTTCTATTGTATGAAATTTGAAGTTGGTCTAAGAAAATCTTTTATGCGATAGATTTTCGTTTGCGCATTTACAGTATGATTTTTGTTATACATTTATACAGTGGTAGGTACTGGTTTTATCGGATAACTATTGGTTACAGTAGTTAAATCCGAATAGGTGAACCCTCCTATCTTTTTGAAGCGGCACTATTTTTTGTATTTCTGAACGCTGATTACGAATATGACAATAAAAATTTGCGACAAGGTCATTTTCAAGGTCGAAACTAAAAAATCTGAATAAATATAACTTTAATTTTATAAACTGTTGATCATTTATTCATTTTGTACGATATATTATTTATGTGTGACTGCTTTGTTCTTCGTGTGTTTTTTTCAGATTCTTGCATGGTATCGGCTCCTCCTGACGCTCTCTTTTCGCCGGTCCTTATACGCCGCTCGCGTATAATGTTTGTTGGCGTCGGTACGACAGGTATCCTAACCTCACACTGTCAGATTTTAACAATTTATAACTCTCTTATTAGTGCCAAGCGACAATTTTAACTTGCAAATTCGTGTTTTACAGGCAAATATACACGATCCTATGAATTTTCATCAAAAACGGAGAATGAGGGACTCTCCTTTAGTATTACCTGGTGTATTACCTTTATCGACAGTGCTTGAAATGGACGTAGCGGAGTAGTTCCAAAAATAAAAGTGGGCGTAAAGCGCTGGAAACTGCTTAGCGAAACGGTAAGGCTGATGGCAGAGAACAATCCGTAAACGCTGAAGGGCCGGGGCACACAAATGGCCTTAAGCAATAAGACGTAAGCAATAAACGAATTGACCAATCATAGTCGAGAATTATGGCAACCATATTATATATTCTCCCCGGCCCTACGTCTACGACTGAGACAATCTTAAGCGTTTACGGATTGTTCTCTGCCATCAGCCTAACAAGTAAAACACCGGCGTGGCCGCTCTCAGGTTTGTCTCTGCCGCTAGTCGCCCGTAAGCCCGGGTCTCTACAATAGGTGTAGTAAGCCTTATGCGGGGTCTACAATGAGAGTCGCAGAGTCGCAGTCGTAAGAATAAGCGACTGCGATTGGTCAATTCCGTCAGACACATAAGAATTGATCAATCATACCGTGCTTTCCAGCAAGCGACACAAGTCGACACAAATGTCGTTCTGTCTTTCTTCGCATTCGATGAATAATAAAGACAGAACGACACTTGTGTCGACTTGTTTCGCTTGCTGGAAAGCACGGATAGTCGACTATTCTTACGACTACAACGTTACGACTTCTATGGCCGGTATTCATAGTCGATTCTTATTTCAGTATCATCTTAAAGCCTCCGCTACAATGATTCTCGGTTCTGTCTACAATGGTCGTACAGTTGTATCGATGGTTGCTTGAGTAGTCGCAAAGCAGTCGTAGTCGTAGTCGCTCAAATAGGTTCAATTCCTATTCCAACGACCACGACTGCGTTTATTGCCGCGACGGACCAATCAGAGAATAGTGTTATATGTTGTGTGTCATTATATGTCGAATATATCGTGGGAAAATACCTCAAAAACAGAAAATCGGTTTCAGTTATACATCGATACGACCCAATCCATGACTCTACGATTCTAAGACTGCGACCATTGTAGACAGAACCGAGAATCATTGTAGCGGAGGCTTAAGTGTTGTCTTAAGACGCCAATACGGCTCTGTGATTGGTTGACAACACATTAAGAGTATACTTAAGATGATCTTAAATACAAGAACGGACTATGAATACCGGCCTATGTAAACGAGGCTTTAATATTCAGACTGGACGCGATGAGCGACGAGCGACGCGCGACGCGCGATTATCCAATGAGCGTACAGGTTTTATGGGAAAGTGTACAGTTTTCCTATAAAGACTGCACGCCCATTGGATATCGCGCGTCGCTCATCGCTCATCGCGTTCAGTCTGAATGAGCCATAAGCCGTAAAGAATTGGCCAGTGAGGCTGGATTCACATGGAGCGTAACTTGCGTAGCGTAACCTGCGTATCACCAATCACAGGGTCAGGGTGCTTTCACATGGAGCGTAAGTTGCGTAGTGTAACCTGCGTATCGCCAATCACAGGACTAGTTCAACGGAATTATTGAAACGGTTCTATCAGCATGATCCTGTGATTGGTGATACGCAGGTTACACTACGCAATTTACGCTCCATGTGAGAGCACCCTCATTCTGATAGAACCGTTTCAATAATTCCGTTGAAATAGTTCTGTGATTGGTGATACGCAGGTTACGCTTACGCAAGTTACGCTCCATGTGAATCCAGCCTAAAACTTCGGCGTGGCCGCTTTCACGTTTCTATCTGTTGGTATGTATGTAAATTAATATATTAGATACTTTAATATATAAAATAGATTAATTCAAGCCTCATATCTGTGCCCATTATACGGTGTATCACCAATACATCGCTGGTTACGGTCGCGCATGCGCGAAAAAAACGCGACTAGTCTGACGCACTGCTCTAGGATCGTTTTCGGCGAGAAGCGAGTGCGTTCGGTAAACGTTGGACTCAAAAATCCGTTCAACTCCTCGCCGTTGTGCAACGAGCCGACAGCGATTCGCTCTTAGCAGCTCAACTTTTCATTCTGTTTTTCTGTATTTTTCAAACTGTTTTCCACCTCTTTCTTTTTCTCCGCTCCGATTATATATCTTTCACTTCGAAGATTTGGTCACGAGTCTTTTCCTCAAACGTGAACTCGTGAAAAGTGACAATATTGAATTCGTTAACGAAATGTTTTGCTTTTCACGAGTTCACGCGAGAGAAAAAGATTCACGATCGAGTTCAAGGTGCAGATAATATGACAAAGTAAACATTGCATTGGCAGAAGTGACGAATATTGCATATTTTTACAAAAGATAAATTTAAGCGCGCAAGATTGAAGACAGATCGCGTTGTTTGCGCGACGTTGGCACGCAGTGTCGGCATTAAATTTTTTAATTTCTTGTTAACGCCAGTCATGACGCACGAGGATCTAGACGCGGCGCGAGCGCGCTCAAGTTGGCTTATGTACGGCGCTTCTGGGCGCATACACACCGGCCTACGTGTAGGGCGAATGACTTTTTAAAAACACGCGGCAGGGAGGGAGAGAGAAAGGAGGAGAGAGAGAGAGAGGGAGAAGGAGGAGAGAGAGAGAGAGAGAGAGAGAGAGAGAGAGAGAGAGAGAGAGAGAGAGAGAGAGAGAGAGAGAGAGAGAGAGAGAGAGAGAGAGAGA